ACTCACACGCCATCCACACACACACACACGCACACACACACACTTACACCATCCACACACACACACACACACACCATCCACTCACACACGCACACCTACAGGCAATTTGGTAACTCCAATCAGCCTTGGCATGTTTTTGGACTACGGGGGGGAAACTGGAGTACCCGGAGGAAACCCCAGAAGAACACGGGGAGAACATGCAATCTACACTCACATGTTACCAGGGAAGAGACTCAAGCACCGGCCCCACCGGAGTGAAGGAGTGACCTGTTGCCCAATTATTGCTTTATATTCATTTAAATAAAATGATAAACCAAGAAGCCCAGGGATGAAACGGAATCCTGGGTCCCCCTGCTGAGTGTCCATGCTGTATTCAATAGGCCTCAGGCCAGCCAGGTCTCTGTGAGAATAAGTACTTATGTAAGAGAGATGGATGGAAGGATGATCAAGCCAAGAAACTGAATAGCATATGATGCTCCCATTTACATCTTTACATCTTTATTTAGCAGATGATGTCATCCAAAGTGATGCACAAGTGAGAGAGCAAGGTCAGTCAGCCCCTGGGATGATCAGAGGGGGTAGCAGTTAGCAGATTTGTTCAAGGGCCCAAAGTGACATCACTCTATCAACCCTGGGGTCCAAACCACCGACCTTCTGATCACAGGCACGCTGTCCTTACCCACTGAACCACATATGACCCCCCCACTTCAGGAACTGATGAGCATAGTGGACGCAAACAGGCCAGACACACGTAGTCCAAATCCACCCCTCACCACCTAATTCTCAGGATGGGAGCCAGGACACCGACATTAATTACGCTTCTGTCCTCTGCCGGCCAAAAATCTGGGTGGCTTGCATTACATAAACACATCCAAATAACCATATGATTGCAGTATTATTACTGCCAGTGAACAGTGACTATTCCCATAGATAAATACATGCTTTCATTGGTGCCACATTTTCACCAAATGTGGACATTTAACCTGACGGTGATCCTTTTAAAAACAGGCAGTTAAAATAAACACATTCTGCTCTTTATTCGTTTTCTGCATGGGAAATTCATTCATTTATAATTGGATTAGAGTTTATAGATTGGATGTACAGTACAGTACATTATTTCCTCAGTTCATGTCATCTTTTTTTCATCTTCTCTTTTCTTTCCTTTCCTTCTCTTTTTGCTCTTCTACTCCTTGCAGATCTTTGCTCAGCCAAAACGAAAAGCTGCAAAGATAACCCATTGTCCCAGTTTCTTACTTAATTTAAACACTGAGATATTCGCTAATGATTCTGTGCGTTGGATTAGAGTTTAGCTAAAATGTATTCCCAGCCAGCCGGATATATACACCAATAAAAGCACTGGTTAGCCAACCCTAATAAATTTTACAGGGTTGGGTTAAGAGGTTGATTTAGACCTTAAATGGCTTAACAGGAGGGCATATGGCAGATTTTGGTCAGTTTAAGACTACTTT